CATGGGCAAGGATTCTTTTTATAATATCTAGAGGAAGAAAAATTAGCCCGAGTGGAAATGAAAAAGGCAACAACACTTTTTGGCAATTTTTTCCTCTGACTCTTCTTTTCATAACTTTCCTCCAAAAAAGGTTTTTTCAGATGACTTTCATAGCAACATCAGGTCAAAAAGACAAGTTTGCTCGTTTACTGAAATGATTTTTTTCTGAAGCGACCCACTGATAAAAAGTGTCAGTATGTATGAAATAAAGACTTTATACCAATGAAGTGCTCACGAACGATTTTTACTCTCTTGTTGTGATGCATCAAAAAACTTACTCGTTCGGTGCGCTAAATCATTCGTTTTTTTGATAAATCGCAGCTCGTGAATAAAAATTGTTCGCGTGCACTTTCCATGGAACTGATCTCTATGTATTTAGGAATTTAGGGGCAACTGGGATCGCAAAGTTCTTATAGTAATCGCCTTTGACCGCAGTGGCCGGGGTTCAATTCTTGGACCTGACGCTACGTGAGGGTTAAGCTTTCGCGCCTACCTATCAAGTTTTGAAAAATAAAATAAAAAAAACAGAACGCGCTTAAAGGAACTCTGCAATAATGAGATAGAAATAACTGCAAGTGACCTAACGGAAAATTGACTATTTCTCTGTACTGATTCCGTTTAAGTTGATGCTTGAAACGTTATGAAAGTGGCAACACAAGCAGGTTTTCCTTGTATCCCTATTTAAGGGAGGGTGTTTGTTTTACATTTTGGCCTGGGGGTGGGAGCCTTTTCGAGGCAATGCGGTTTTACTCAAATTATTTTCTATTTTTCTCCATATTTGCCAGATGATGCACGTTCTCGATGGGCAAAGATGAAAGCATTTGGCGGAAATCTACAAAGAGGGACACGAAGAAAAAGTTCTGTTTTTGGCGTCTGAGAACTCTACCTTGAATAAGAAAAATTATACTGGCAACTCATCACTATGGATAAAATAATTTTAATATGCCCTGAAGATATTTACATGGCATGACTTTCACGTTTTGTTCTACTTGATGTGGAATATATGAGGGTCATGACCCGATTTATACAGGAAACTCGCGCGACAAAAGCGCAATTTTCATTTCCTCCTTGAAACACACTTTACCTAAAAATCATAAAATGTAATACATGTGTGAGAAAAGCCTCTCGTTACATAATTGATGAATAAACAAACCGACAATTTAAACAAATTTGATTTACGTAAAATAATGTAACATGATGGTTCTGATAAAATTGAATCCACCTTTAGGGCAATGGTTTGATAAAACATAACTCTATATACTACTTAAATTGTCATTGGCAATGTGGTAGCAAATAAGATCGCAGTTTCTCTGAAAGAACCTCTCGTTAAAACGGTTAAAGCCTGTTGTTAATTATCTAACTGAAAAATTCATACCGTAAAACGTATAAAAATAGAGAAAGTTGATAGAACTTAAATCTGGGACTAGCTCGTTATGTTCAATTTCTTAAGAAAGAATGTTTGCAGTCAAATATTTACAGCATGTTTACGTACGATCAAAGTTGTTCTCAGATTTGTCCACCCAACTTGCTTGCGAGTGGATGTGAATAACGCTATGCGTGTAAACATAAACTTTAGAACTGATTTAATCATAGTCTCTCTCGGAAAAGCGGTGCCGCGAACGTAAATATCATCATGGAACACTGTGGTCAATTACTACTTTCGTGAGCGCAGTGACCTGGTTTGTGGTGGCTCGACATCTCGCGCACGCGCACTTGATCGTTTCCTTTTCGCCTCTGGAACGGCAGGTTCAGCAACCTCCTCTTCACTGAGCTGCCTTTTTCTCCCTCGAGTTGAACGCACGGGTAGCTGTGGTTCAACTGTTGGTTTTATTTTGGCTGGGTTTGCGCTCCTTGATGACCGTGTTGTTCTGGGCTCTTCCAGTGCTTTTCCTTTGGGCTCTCGCTTACCCCGGACATTTTTCACGGAACTCTTTGACTGGAAATTTTCCACCTCCTGAAGTGAGGCAGCAGTGCTCTCAGGAACAATGCTCTCAACCGGATTTCCGCGAGTGCGTCTTGTGGATCTCTGCTTTGAAGACGCCTCCTTCTCTTCCGACTGTGTCTCTTCGTCTGCTTTAGCGACGCTCTCTTTCTTAGTTCGCTTTGCTTGACTGCTTTGGGCCAGCTTGTCTTCGTTAACAGTTTTATTCTTGTCGGCTGTTCTTCTCGAACGAGTTCTCCTTACTTTTGTCGCTTCTGCGTCATTTTGTTGGACTTTTCCATTTCGAAGACTCTCTTCCTCAGACATAACTGAGGCAGATTCTTCGGTGGTCCTGGCTTTGCGTCGAGAGCGCGTGGTTGTGGAGTTGTTGATAGTTTCGTCGGCAGCATCACCAATCACAACTTTATCTTCAACCTCTGCAACTTCAGCTCTTCGGTTGCGACCGCTTCTTGTCGTTCTTGGCAGTTTAACGTTTTGTGAAGGTGCTTCTTTAAGTTGAGAGCTACGCGTTGCTCGACCTTTACCACCACTCTTTCCAGTCTCAACATCAGCCTTCTGTACATCTACACTACTGCTGCCGCTGTCTTCCTCGACTTTCGCTCGTGTCCTTCTCTTTGTAGCAACACGCTTTTCAGCGACTTCACCTCCACTGCACTCTTCAGAGGAGGAATCTACTCTGGCTTTAGCACGGATCCCACGACGAGAACATCGCGAAGGCTCCGTTTGCTGCGCTTTGAAATCGGTTGTTTCCTCCGCTCCTCCCCTGGTAAAGGCTTTCTCTGTTGCTTCGGGCTCAACCAATGTAGGGGAGGCGGCGACCTCGACCGTCTGATCAGTCGCAGGCAAAGGAGAAAGAACTTCAATAATTGGATCTAGTTGCGTGCGCTTAAATTCTAACGGTTTCGGCGTACTTGGTAGGCTTGCTGCCGAACTCTTTTTACTTCTCGTCGTTGTCTTTCTTTGCACGACTTTCAGATTGGAGGGAGATTTTTTGCTTTCACTGCTTTGTTTTGCAGCTGCACGAGTAGTGCGCCCTCTTTTAGGCAATGGTTCAGGCAGTTTTTCGAGTGGCTTACGCTTGGCTCGGGTCACTCTTTGTACAGTTTCGGAGCTAACGTCCTCTGATGCTTCAGCTGTCTTTTCTTCGGATTCTGGAGAAATTAAGTTGATAGCCCGTACATCCTGCTCCTTATCACATTCACCCTGGACAACGGATTGGACTGTGTCTTGGAAGGAATCCTCGACAGGCAGCAAAAATAAATCTGATATGAAGTGTTCTTCAAGGTCAACAGCTCTCTTAGACTCTTTAGGTGTCTGCATCAGCGCCCTGAGCCCAACAAAGTTCGGACTGGCCACAGCTTTCTCAGTTCGCATCATTTTCTTAATACCGTCAAACTTTGGGCTCTCTACAGCGGCCCCTTCACCCATATCACCTGGTGTTCTCAGCAACCTGGCAACTCCTTGTAACCCTTCACTTTTGCGTGAGTAACGTTTGGGTTCCGGCTTGGGAGATGCAAAAACGCTGGGAGCAAAGAAATCTTCGACATTCTCCACGGCATTTTTCTCTTTCGGTACCTTCATCAGTCGGGCGAGGCCTTGCAGACCTAAACTTTTTCGGTCACTGGTACTGGGTTTTTTAACGTTGACGGCTGAAACTGCCTTTACTTGATCTGAGGAACGAATAGATGGGGTTTTGGTTGGAGCTATTGGCTTAATAACCTCCATTTTAATGTCTGGAGACTCGCTAGAGAAGACAGACGTTTGCTGCATGGCAGAACGAAGAGATGGCGTACGAGAAGGCTGCAGCGGAGTCACAACTTCCACTGTAACAGCATCTTTGGCTAAACTTCGCAGAGATGGTGTCTTCTGTGTCATTAATGCTTCTTTCATTTCCAGCAACACCTCTGGCGTTACAGCACTCTTGATAGTTTGCGCATTTATTGACCTTAGTGACGGGGTGTGAGAGCTGTGTATGGGGGTTACTATCTGAACAAACTCCGTATCTTCTCCAAAACTTCTCAAAGAAGGCGTCTTTGATAGTTTCAAGGATTCTGTCAAGTTTAAGTCTTGCTCTTCAGGACTTGAAGTGAGCTCGTCTTCTGTGGTGGTGCGCGGTGTGGCCACGGAGATAGATGGTGGTGTTGCAAACATTTCAGGCACTCCTTCGAAATCTTCGACAGCCATTCCACGTTTTCGTGGAGCTTTCGTCGCTTTGGCAAGACTCGACAACCAGTTGCTTCCTTTTTGTTGTTTGGATGTGTCCTTACTGATGTCAACCATCGGTGGGGTAGCAAACATTTCTACCAGGCCTTCCAAGTCTTCCACAGGTTTGGCACGTGCTTTCACGCCGTTGGTGGCTCGTGCAAGGCTTGACATCCAAGTACTTTGAGGAGCGTTCTCGTTGGTCTCTGGTGAATTTAGCACACCCACACTGTCGACCATCGCTTGGGGAACGGCCTTTCCGTCAAGACGTGCACTTCTCCGCTTCTGGATTGACTGACTGTCATTGACAGGTTTGCTGGGGACTTCTGTCGACATATAACCCGTGTAAGTATGAGAGTAACGGAGAGAGGCGTCAGAAAAAGGATAGGGGTAGAGCACCGTAACATGAAACCAAATTGAATGAAGTTCTCTTATTTGACTTGTTTAATACATGCAAAGCGAATAAAAATTTACACAAGGATAGTTTAAACTGCTAATAAGATAATGGATGTTGAAATTTCTGTAAATGTACTTCAAGCACGGCAATGCAAATCAATTCTGAGTTAAAAACAAAAATAAGTCTACAAATGGTTCTTGGTGAGGTCCAGTCTGATGAAAAAAAAAAAAATTTTTTCTTAGGGGAGATTTCTTTTTCGCACTCCAAATCTATAATTTCAGTTATAGCAAATAACGTTGCACACCAAATTTCAGGTTAGATCTCGTAACACAAATATTTGATAATAATAATTAACTTTTATTCCATGAGCGTGCGTTAGATGTGAGATGGTAAATAGCCAACGCGTTGCTACGCTTCTCGTTGGCTATAACCAATCTCGTATCCAACAAGTGCAAATTGGAACATTTGTTTCCTTGAATTTCATGAAATCCTGAGCGTTTGGATATTTGGAGCCTTTTTTCAGCTCCGCAACAGTTGATAACAAGGATGAACTTACCATGATCTGCTGCAACAACATCAGCAACATTAGCGGGTGGAACAGATTCGGCCTGCAAGTTTAAACAACATGTACTCGATGAGCCGCTATGAAGTGTTGAAAATACAAACGTTGAGTACTGTGGTATCCGTATCTACCACTAAAACTTAATATTGACTGATTTTGTTGCAACCTAAACAATTGAGGATAATACAATATCAACGAGTTCCATGGCTACTTCATACTTAAAGAAGCCACAACGTGTATTTCCATGAAGCTCCTTCACAATCCGTGTCGATCCCTGTCAGCCACACTTTTTCTCTTTTGTTACATTTCTCGCGAGAAGTTGTACATGTACCTTCTCGATGTTTGTTAGCCCTGAAGAATTTGCCTCAGTCCATATACCCACAAAACTCGCCATAACATAAACATACCTTCTTACAAATTGGTGCCGTTTTTCCAAACTTGAATGAATTTCCCTTGGAAGATCTTCTCAAAGCAGTCTTTGTAGCTCTTTTCACGATTTCTGCGTATGTGGGTTTTCGCGGTCCGATCTCGTTCCGAACAGATGACGACTTCCGACGAACAGCTCTGAGTGCTGGTCTAGAGTGGATCCCAGTGCGAAGTGGTGTGGCCATACGGTGACGGGTGGGTCGCAGTTTTCTTCCCGCAATAATGGCTTTCCTGAGCGGAGTCTTTAAGGCTCTTCTTACCGGAGCTTCTTGGAACCCTTTACTTT